TCTTCTTCTTCTTCTTCTTCTTCTTCTTCTTCTTCTTCTTCTTCTTCTTCTTCTTCTTCTTCTTCTTCTTCTTCTTCTTCCTCAGTGGGGTCTAATGTCCTCGAGTCCACCCTCCAAGGCAGCTGTTTTCTCCAAGACAAGTGGGAATAAATGTTTTAAATAACTAAATTAAAGAAACACAAATAAATGATCTATGTAGTCCGAAGTTCTGTTGTAATTCTGGGGGGGGGATCTCCAGCCCCCAACTGGAAGATGGCAACCCCAGACCCCAATCGGCAGTCTCCTGATTGTTTCTTTGTTTGGTTGGTTTTTTAAAATCATTGCTGTGACGTGAATGCTTATTTAAAAACCGACAAGGAAAATTAACCTGGCAGCAAATTATAACTGCAGGACGGAAAAAGGAGAGCAGAAATTCAACAAGATGCCTTACTGGGGTCCTCCTTCCTTCAGCTTTTGATCAGTTTCCCTTTAAAAAAAATTGCTTAACCTTTCCCTCCCTCACCCCATTTAAGGTTCCTTTGAAAACACTTTTTTTTTAAATGCATTTACCTGCCCAATACTTCCGATCAATCAGTGAATAAATCTATGTGGTAAACAGGGAATCTGAGTCACGGTTACAAGGCACTGAAGCCTATCCCAAAGGAATCATCCCGAAAATGCCGGGGCTGGTTTATCTATCATCAACAGAAGGGAAACCAGTCGATACAAGCAGCTGAATCAGATGGTGAGACTTTTCCTGGAATGTACCACTTCAGGCTGCAAGCGGGGGTTTGCATGGGCAAATTCCACTTTAAAAAAACAAAAACCTCCCTACATATTTGGGAGATGCTGTACGAACTCTTCTTCCTGACGTGCTAGTTTTCTATGTGCATGGAGCTGGATTTTTTTGCAACACCCTGCCCCCTTCCAATGCAAGAGGCACAGTTCAGGAAAATCTTCCTTTGCCGTATGATTCTGCTGGTTGTATGAACTGGCCAAAAAGCCATCAAATAACAACTGTGTACTGCACAAACCCGCACCAAAGTTAACAAAAAGAGACTTCAACACAAAGGTAATTCAACACATGTAATCCATCATAGGAAAATACAAAAGTCCACAATATCCCAAAGGGAAAGAACAAAGTCCAGAATAGAAATTTCTCAAAGGGAAACAATGAAGTCTGGAATAGATATCACCACTTTTCCTAGGTATTGTTCAGTGTTTCGGACTTCTGGTCCTTCCTCAGGAACAAAAAGCCACTACAGGAAGTCTCATTGCAATTTCTTAACAGGCAAACTTTATTCAGTTTCTATATGGGCCAGGTCTCCTAAGCTTTAGAAAGCACCTACCAAGGTTGCTATTATGTAAGTTGGACCAAACATTTTTTTTTAAAAAAAATTATTGAATGACAAAACATATACAGATATCGATTTAGAAATTTAAAATTATTTTTAAAATGACTCTGACTATAGTGTCTCTCAGGTCATCTGGGATGCAATGAAGGCATTGGTCAGAGGGAAGTACATTGCAATTACTTAAATCTTCTGTGGAGACCTCCCCTCTAGTGCCCACTGTCTTTGCGAGGCTGCCGGTGAGCTGTTGAAAAAGGGGGGTGTCACTTATTCTTCAGCCCATTCATAATTAGCTTAGTGGATGCGGCCTACTGGCTACCACTGTTACCAATAGATTAGTCTGTCAGCCAAACAATAGCCCTTCATATTTTGGTTTCCTTATTTGTTCCCAGTCAAATTTGTCTATGTTCATTTTCTCTAATACGGGGTACCATTTATCCATAGGGTTAAGCAGCTGATGTTCAGCATCTTTGTTACTTGTCCAGAACGAGATTTTCTCTTGTAAGAAAAAATCCCAGACTTTGTACAGCCATTGTTGCATCGTTGGAATGGAGTCTGCTTTCCATTTGCTTGCTAATAGCAAAGTTGGACCAAACATGCCTCTACGTTGGTTGTATGAACTGGCCACAGTTCAACCCAGGTTAGGACACATGAACACACGAAACTGCCTTCTACTGAATCAGACCCTTGGTCCATCAAGGTCAGTATTGCCTACTGAGGCTGGCAGTGACTCTTCAGGGTCTCAAGCAGCAATCTTTCCCATCACTTACTGCTTGGTATTTTTAACTGGAGATGCCGAGGACTGAACTTGCGACCTTCTGCATACCAAGCAAATGCTCTACCACTGAGCCACGGCCCCCCATAGGAATGCCAGCTTGGGACGTGGGGATCCCCTGGAATTACAGCTCGTCTCCAGACTACAGAGATCAGTTTCCCTGGAGAAAACAGAAGCTTTGGAGGGGGGACTGTGTGGCATTGTACCCCACTGAGTACCCCACTGAGTACCCCGGGCTCCATCCCCAAATCTCAAGGAGTTTTTCAACCTGGATATGACAACCTTATCCCCCCCATGGGCCCCCCAATCTCTCATCAGTCGCCAAGGGGGACCTGTTTGGTGTAGTGGTTAAGTGCGCGGACTCTAATCTGGGAGAACCGGGTTTGATTCCCCACTCCTCCACTTGTACTTGCTGGATGACCTTGGGCAAGCCACAGTTCTGTCAAAGCTGTTCTTGAAAAAGCACAGTTTCTGCCAGAGCTCTCTCAGCCCCGCCTACCTCACAGGGTGTCCCCACTGAGTACCCCACTGTCCTCCCCAGGCTCCATCCCCAAATCTCAAGGTGTTTTTCAACCTGGATATGACAACCTTATCCCTCCCATGGGCCCCCCAATCTCTCATCAGTGGCCAAGGGGGACCTGTTTGGTGCAGTGGTTAAGTGCGCGGACTCTAATCTGGGAGAACCAGGTTTGATTCCCCACTCCTCCACTGGCACCTGCTGATGTGACCTTGGGCAAGCCACAGTTCTGTCAAAGCTGTTCTTGAAAAAGAGCAGTTTCTGCCAGAGCTCTTTCAGCCCCACCTACCTCACAGGGTGTCTGTTGTGGGGAGGGGAAGGGAAAGGAGTTTGTAAGCTGCTCTGAGACTCCGAGTGAATGGCGGGACATAAATCCAATCGCTGCTTCTTCTTCTATCTGCAATAGCCTTTTAATACAAATGAGCTTGTAGCATCAGGACCGATTTCCCACAGCCGCTACTCTGCGCTCGCTCCTCTCTTTGTCCCGATGGTACATGTCAATTTCCCACTCGAAGCCGCGTGGCCGCATTTTGACTAGGGGTGTGCAAAAAAAAAAAAGGTAACTTTTTTCCCACCATAGAGAGCAATGGAGGGGATAGGGCAACCTGTTTGGGGGGCTGTAGAATTAGACCCCCTGGTCCAATGTTCTTCAGACTTGGTGGGTATCTTGGGGAGAGGCTCCAGCAGCTACCCTGTGAGTTTGGAGTCTCTCCATCAAACCCCCTCTTCTCCAGCCCCCAGAATATACCCTATGTTTTTGCCATTGATTTCAATGGCCCATAGGATATAATGAAGCCGAATTGCCGCCGAAATCCGGCGGCAATTCGGTGGCAAGCCGATTCAGATCAGAGAATCTGAATCGGCCTGCAGCAGCCCGAAAGGGGTCTGAATGGCCCATTTTTGGGACTGCATTCGGTTCGGACGAACCAAATGCACATCCCTAATTTTGACCCGCGGTTTCGTGATCCTGTTTTTGGAGGATTACAAAACCGCGGGCAAAATCGGGCAAAGCCGCGGGGCAAAATGTGGCCGCGTGGCTTCGAGTGGGAAATTGACACGTACCATCGGGGCAAAAAGAGGAGCGCATGCAGAGCAGCGGCTGTGGGAAATCGGTCCAGGATTCTGCCAGGCAGTGGCATGAGTATTCCGAGAAACCCCTGCTGTGCGGCCACTGCAACGTCTAGCTTCCTCCAACATGGGTAAGCCAGAGAGACCGATCAGGCCTTCCATGTGCCACACAGTGGCCTAAGATGCAGCTGCGGTTTTTCGTTCTTTCACTTGGCCTGTACGGTTCCTGTGCCTGAGATGGTGTTGTTTATTTAATTACGGGACACTGTTAATCACAGAGTGGTTTATTGCCAAGAATGGCCTCAAGCACCTGTTTGCAGACAGGCAGCATGCAAATATTTCGCATACATTCCAGTGACTTATGCAGGATGTCAACATGGAAGCCATTTGAATCAGTCTCGAGAGACATGGTTGTGTGACTCCTCTGTAACAGCGGATGTGAATGTATGCTTATAACCATCAGGGTACAACAGAGTGGCTGCGGCTTATAGTGCAGGGGTCTCCAATGTGGCGCCCTCTGGGCTGACCTCAAGTCTTGGATCAGTTGACAGGGACAGAGACAGCCCTTGAGCGTCTTTGGGCCAAAGCCATTTGGGGCACGGGTGTCGAACTCATTTGTTATGAGGGCGGGATCTGGCATAAATGAGACCTCGTCGGGCCGGGCCATGTATGTCATAAAATGTAATGCCAGGTAGCGAAGATATAAACTTTATAAAGGACACAAACACAATGGTTGTGGTTTTTTTTTTACTTAAAATAAAAAAACATGCTTAAAACATTAGCTCTCTTGCAATATTTTGTTTATCTAGCAGTATCTGATAACTGACACCTCTCGCTCTGAATTATTGCATCAGAATGTCTGTGCTGTTGCAATCTTGAGTATGCTGTTCAGGTGTGTATCTGTAAGCTGCAAACCGACTTTTGATTTATTGACATTCACCACAGAAATCTCGTGCTCAGAGTTCTGAGTCTAGGACCCAGGTTAAAATATGAAATGGCCGAGTGATTAAGAGAGTCTGGCGAAGCAAGCTATGATGCAGCAGCAGCAGCAGCAGAACCGGAAGCAGGAGATGGCCAGTTCCACTGCGGGCCTGATAGGAACCCTCCGGGGGCCTCTTCCAGCCCCCGGGCCGCATGTTTGAGACCCCTGATTTAGGGCTTTCCTTCAAGGTCAGAACCCACCCCTTGCATTAGGCCCAGGATCTATTGTGTACATACATATATATATATATTTTCATATAACAACCTATAACACAGCAACAAAATCAATATAAGTCATCACCAACTATATCAGCATGGCAAGAAAAGGTATGGGATCAATTCATAATGGCTAAAATCACAGACTCACTGAATAGAGCAAACAATAGTAATACACCAATTTATTCTAAATTTGTACGGATATGGGCTCCAGTTCTTGAATATATGGTAACAAATGATATACTGCCATCAAAGCAAATGCATCATAAATGGTTATACTTATAGATCACTCCCATTATAGAAGGTCTTAAAACAAATCACAAGTTCATCAGTTCCAAGTAGCAGACAACTCACAGTAATATACCTTTTCAGTTGCCAAATATAAGTGTTTTATTTTATGTAAGATATATTTATGCTATGATTTGTTGTAATATACAAAAATAACAGATTAATGTGTTTATTTGCATTCTGTAGAGCTTTTAACAAAACCAATAAAAACAATAATAAAAAAAGAATATGTAACAGCTCTTGTGAGAAAAATCACTAGGCTTAGCAGCTCAGAATTCAAAAGGTTAAATATAATAACAGTAGTATAGGTAAAGGTAAAGGTTTTCCCTTGCTCGAAAGCCAGTCGGATCCAACTCTAGGGGGCGGCACTCATCTCCATTTCCAAGCCAAAGAGCCAGCACTGTCCGAAGACGTTTCCATGGTCATGTGGCCAGCGTGACTAAATGCTGAGGCACACGGAATGCTGTTACCTTCCCACCGAAGTGGTCCCTATTTATCTACTTGCAATTGCTTGCTTTCGAACTGCTAGGTTGGCAGGAGCTGGGGCCAGAAACGGGCGCTCACTCCACCATGCAGCACTTGGGTCTCAAATTGCCGAACTACAGACCTTCTGGTCTACAGCTTAGCGTCTTAACCCCTGAGCCACATGCTTCTGATAACAGTAGTATAGATTGGTGTTATACCATAGAGATCTTCCAGACTGTTCTTAAAACTATATATATTGTTACATACAATTAACTGTTTCGTAAAGGATCGGATCTTATTCATATCCACCCCACACACACAATAAAGTTGCCAATGGAACTGCAGGCAGCAGCCCACGCCGTCCACCCCCCAAAGTGTGCAACTCTGGTCCCCGCTCCTCTTGGCACAGCTGGAGGGGGAAATTAAATCGATCCCAATCTTGATTTTTCCAATGGAGCATCTTCCAAGTCGTGAGCCAGTTCCTCAGACAGGAGTCTGGCTGGGATTCACTGCCAAGGCTGCTTTTGTTCGTTCCTTCCTTCAGCGTTCCCATCTTGGCATGTATCGAGGTGTTGACTCACACATGTCTTGGAGATAAGCAAGGTGTTTGTCAAGAAACACACCTGCAGTGGCCGTGACTCGTTTCTGACAGATGTCGTTAGCGAAGAAAATACCCACGAGAGATGTTCTCGATAAGGCTCAGAGCTACTCCCTGGTGAACCCACCTGCATATTAAGGCCTTACGCTTTGTCGTCGGCCCGGGTGTCCAAAGTAGGGGGAGTAGTCCTGCAGGATGAGGCCTTCTTGATGGTGGTGCTCAGCCTCTGGCATTCCCCACCCCACCCCAGGAAGATCTACTTTGTTCCTTCCCCCCTGGCATTTAGTAATCAGACAAAGGCCGTGTTCTTCTTTAGGAGGACTTTTGTGGGGGGCAGTCCAGTTGGTGTAGTGGTTAAGTGCGCGGACTCTAATCTGGGAGAACCGGGTTTGATTCCCTATTCCTCCACTTGCAGCTCCTGGATGTCCTTGGGCAAGCCACGGTTCTGTCAGAGCTGTTCTCTCAAGGACAGTCCTCGAAAGAGCTCTCTCAGCCCCACCTACCTCACGGGGTGTCTGTCGTGGGGAGGGGAAGGGAAAGGAGTTTGTAAGCCGCTCTGAGACTCCTTCGGGTAGTGAAGGTTGGGGTATAAATCCAATCTCTACTTTCCTTGCTCTTCTTCTTGTTGGTATGGATATTTGACTGTGACAGCTGATTTGCAAAGGTCCTTTTTTGCCTTATTAGTTTCCCTTGTGCCCCCCATCATGTGGAATACTTGGTCAGTATTCACACATTCCTCCTCTTCTACACTATCCCCTGTAGCCACCAACTCAGCTGCAGTCCTCTCAAGTGCTTTTACTCGCTTAGGAGGCATTTTGACAAAACTTTTGCCTCACACCATTTCCTAAATATGTATATCTCTCTATTTCACCACCCCTGGGAAACGGTTTGTGAATTTTTTCGTCTGCACCCCATTCTCCTGGCTTTCTGCGAACGATGCAAAACTATTTCTGGCGGGTAGTCGTCTTGGTCTGAGGGTTTAAACATTCCCACTGCCAGGGCTGGCCCAGCCATAGAAAAAATTAAGCATTTGCCTAGGGGTGCCACCTCATGGAAGGGTGCCCTGGCCTGCCGTCACGCCCCTGCCAAAAGCCCTGCTTCGTTGCTCAGCTGCCCGGGGACACAGCGTGCTCACCGGCCCTCCTTCTTTCCTTCCCCCGCAGACAGCGGCGAGGTGACGGTCCTGTCCAACAGCCAGCACAAGTTCCCCGTCGCCTTCCCGCTGCCCGAGTAAGTCCCGCACGGGGACGGGGTCACTCTCCCTCCTTTCCTACTCCTGACCTGCCCACCCGGCCGCCCTTCCTCCGGCAGGTGGGTGCAAGCCCCTCCTGAGTGCTGCCGCCTGTTCCCCACCGCAGGATCCTGGCCATGGCCACCTCCTTCGAAGGCAAGCATGGCAGCGTCCACTCCTGGGTGGAGGCCAAGCTGCACCGACCCTGGGCCGCCGTCTGGAGGGCCAAGCAAGAGTTCACTGTCCTCAAGCCCCTCAACATCAACACGCCTACCCTGCTGGTGAGTGGGTTGGCCGGCTGGCCAGGGAGCACCGACGTGGGCTTCTCGCCGGCCACGCCCGCCTTCTCTGGTCGCGGGCCCCTGGTGCCTTCCCCCGCTTGCCACCGCCAGCCCTCCATGGGCGCCCAGGGAAGCGCACGGCCGGGCAGCCAAGCCTTCCTCTCGGCCCCCTTCCTTCAGCTCGCCTCCAGGCTGCAGTGGCCCGACAAACCGGGCTGGCCTCTCTGTCCAAAGCAGCCAGACCCCTCCCCCCGTATGCTGAGAACCCTGGGCAGGGGGCTGCTCCGCTTTTCAAAACCCTGTGGCAGGGAGCTCCCCAGACTGATAAGGAGCGTCTCAGGTGTGAACATAAGAGACACCAATGTTGGATCAGGCCACAAGGCCCATCCAGTCCAACACTATTGTGTCACACGGTGGCCAAAAATACCAGGTGCCATCAGGAGGTCCACCAGTGGGGCCAGGACATTAGAAGCCCATGAAACCCCTCCCCCTGTTGCCCCCCCCCCAAGCACCAAGAAGACAGAGCATCACTTGCCCCAGCGCCCCTATCTGTACCTTGTGGCTAATAGCCACTGATGGACCTCTGCTCCATATGCTTATCTAATTCCCTTTTGAAGCCATCCATGCTTGTAGCTGCCACCACCTTCTGTGGCAGTGAATTCCAGGTGTTCATCACTCTTTGGGTGAAGAAGTGCTTCCTTTTATCCATTCTAACCCGAACGTTAGTGAGACAAGATCTTCCCTGTCTGACAGCCAGTAAGCCCACCACCGCCTCCCATTCGCTCCTCCCCCTGTTTTGCCAAAAGACCAGGGCTCTGGGTTGGCGTTCCACTGAACGGCTCTCTTCTATCTGCTTCTGACAGGCTTTTAAATGGCTGCCCATCCTTCCTGAGCTAAGACACTAGCCACTAGCCAGCTGAGGTGGCTCCCCCCACCACCTTTCTGATTCCACACACTGTAAAAATAAATGACTCATGACGCCCTGGACCACATCTGGGGGGGGGGGATCCAACCTAAAGTTAAAAAGAAAAAGAAAAAAAAAGCACGCTAGGACCAGGGTTTTTTTAA